AAACCACACATGAGTCAAATCTGACATTTTTTTGCCTCCCAGTCGTGCTAAAGGTAGCGTGGGATGAATGAGTAGGACGCAACAACATGAAGCGCTCCGACTAACACCACCAGCGTGTCTGACATCACTCATTCAACCACTCATTCATCATACTGGTAACAAAAAAAAAACACGTTCATTAATTTCCTTTGAGGTGACTTTTTGGGCGTCGTCATGGTTTTTGCATTATCACTGACAGATAATGAGAAACTTGTAATCGTTGCATCTGTTTAATGCACCCACGGCATTGTTAGCAAAAAGCAGCTAACGTGTTCTGGACGCTGCCGTGTTTCTCTGAATGTTTGAGGGAACTTTATACGTATTTACACAAACTCTGGGTAGCGTTTGGATAAAGTGTGCTGTGCAGTACACAGGGTGGGACTTCAGACACAACCCCAGGCTGCTGCATTTCTCTGGAACCATAATCTATGTACGTAAATAGCGACATAAATAATTCTACATATGGCGGCTTTTACAGTATTCCGTGCAGTATTTCAAGTTTTACTTAAGCAAGAACATCTAAAATAGTCTCCCAACTCTGACATTAAGTAGTAAAACCAAATCAGGAGTGAGGATAATTGTAAACAACCTAAATAAATCCCACAGTTGAGTGAAAGCCACAGGATGTCTCCGCAGCCAGCGTCTTTGGCCTCTCCACCCTAATTTACCACACTCCGCCCACTCAGGCCTGCAGGGCTGTGGAGCTGGCTGATCCTCCAGCAGGGCCGGGCCAGCCCATACGTCCCACTGGCACAGGACGCCCCGCCAAGAGCCAATCACCAAGCCGGCACTCCTGACAGCTCATTACCACTCAATTAGGCAGGTGCACCTCCACGCACAGCCTTCTGACAAATACAGCCCTCCCAGATGCATGTTTAACATTGGAGAGAATTATATAGTGACAGCAAACACTAAACGCCTCACCCTTATCACTTGATTGCCTCAAGATTGAAATCCTATAATTGGCCCAGGCCAGCGGGAGAAAAAAATAAATAAGCCAATAAATATGATGCAGTCGACTTGTAATTGAACAATTATGAATTCATATTCATAAGATGTTTGCTGGCAATTACAAAATGCCATCTGATTAGGCGCAATTTGAAATGACATTGTTCCGTGCTAAAGACACTGTGGTGTCAGCCTAATAAAGAGAAGACACATCATAGCGGCTGCTCGGCCACCGACATGACCTCCAGAGATGAGAGACATGCTGACACAGTGGCTTGGCCGCTGACAGACGGGACTTGGCACCCATCGCTCTTTGTCCCCTAAATCTACTGCTTAGACTCGCTCGCACTGAAAAATAACACCACCAAGGGTTGACTTTCAAATTTTAACACCAGTGGGCACAGATTGTACACATAACAAAACACAAGCAAGGCAAAAAAATGTTGATCCCTTGAGAACAGATTCTAATCAAGATGAAATGATTTACAAATCTATTTAATAAGGCTTGCCAGAAGTCAAACTTGGCATGTAAATGCGGTGGGGATTAAATTTCATCGGCAACCAAGACTGTAACTGATCGCCTGCAGACAAAGGGGGAGCCTGCCAGCTTTTTCTCCCCCCTACACTTCTCTTCCTCCCTCCCTCCCTCTTTTCTCTCCACTGCCTGCATTTTGCCTCGTGATCCCTCCCTGGCTGTGTGGAAGGACAGGGGCAGTGCAGAGTGGTGCAGTACAGAGTGGAGAGCAAAGACAGAGGAGGAGGAGAGGGAGGAAGGAAGGAAGGAGGGAGGAGATGGAGACAGAGGGAAGGGAGAAATACTGGAGATAAAGAACAGAGGAGACGGAGAGAGGAGGAGAGAAAAGAGGACGACAGGGAGAGGAATCTCAAGGTCAGCGTGAGGACAGTGTGGTCCTCTGAGCTGGACGGAGACTCAGCCGCAGTCACCTCTGTGCTAATCAGCCCTTCGGCTGGCTGATGAGGTGTCAGTTAGATGTGTGTGTGGAAAACCTTTCCTTTGCTTTTTGGCTGCAAATTGAAGGGGGCTGGTGGGGCGGAGTAACAATGTGTGTGTGTGTGTGTGTGTGTGTGTGTGTGTGTGTGTGTGCCACTCTGGGGTGTAAGCAGGCTGACGTGCTGCTTGTGGTGCCAGTACTGCGCTTTTTTTTTTTTTTTTTTGCTGCCTTTGCCTCCCTTTCTCCTCTTCTTCTTGCATATTATGCTACAGTGACTGAAGCTGAACTCAGCTTTCCCCTGCAGTGAGGGCAAGAATACAACTGCCAATTAATGCTATATGCAGTGTGCCAGTGTTAACAGTGTGAGGCATTCTAGTTCAACTGGCTGCGCTGTTTGAAAAAAGAAAAAAAAAAGGTGGGCTAGCTGTTTTCCTCGGGCGTGGCTAACCTCTCGCAGGCTAACGGGGATTGTGCTCTTAGCGCAGGGCGCAAACGAACAGCGTCCACAGCTGTGATCAGGTTTGTGACCTAACAGCTCTGCAGCTTGTGTCTCATTGGGTGAGTTTTGTGCATCACGCCAACTGGCAGCGGCGAGTGTCTCCTCCGTCTATCCTTGGGTTATTTCTGACCATCTGTGCCCAGTCATTAACAGGCCTTTTCACAGTCAATTGTCTTGTTTGTCTCCCCTCTTCTCCATTTCTGTTAGTTTCACTGTGCATGACTATAAGATGGACCAAGAGCTTCTCTTCTCTCTCTCTCTCTCGAATGTAAATGGCATAAGTTAGTAGAGGCCATTTTATTAGCCGGGGCTAAGGAGAAGCGTGGAGACATAGGTTAATTCAAAGTGGCATCATGGAGGATGCATCAAGCAGTGGAGATCAAATTACAGGGCAAAGCGCTCAGTGGTAAGAAAAACAAGCCAGTGGTATGCTGCAGAGTGTGTGTGTGCACGCTGTGTGTGTTTAACAGCAAATGTATGTGTGTCTGAGAGACCAGAGAAAAGAGAAGGGGGAGGCAAAGAAGACAGCAAAGAGGGCCAACGGGGGGAGGATGGGAGGTGGAGGGTGGGGATGGAAGGAAAGTGGGAGCAAAAGAAAGGAGGCGGAGGGGGGAGAGAGGAGAGGCTAACTGGGCCAGCGTGCTCACATCACCCCCACCAATTAGAGTCACTCATCTCCCCTTCCCACAATACATCAGCCTCTATTTCTGATGTTTACAATCATCAGAGGAAGAAATAACTGTACACAACGCTGCAGCAGCGATGGCATTCAGCAGAAAAAGAGATATCCTCTGCCTGAAATGCGTTTAGCCATTCCTTCTTCCCCCTCACGCCTTTGTTATTGGTCTTTGTGCAATGATTTGCCTAAGGACCCAGATTTCCTAGCAACAGCCTGCCACCAAACATTTGGCAGGAGTTCAACATTCTCTCTCTTTGTGAGAAATGGCAGTGCTGCCTCCCTGCTCTGCGTCTGCCACCAGCCCTGCTGCTGCTGCCGCCGCCGCTGCTGCTGGATGAGCCAGACTGGCTGCAAGAGCCCTCTAATAATTCTGTTTTCATCCAATCACACCACATAGTAGCAGGCACCTTGAGAGCCTCTGCCAGGAATCATCAATCACCTCTTTAACACACATGCTCCGACAAACACGGACTCATGTGCGAGCAAATAACATGCTAACGTACACGCGTGTGCACTTTTCGGTAATTAAATCTACAGATTAGGGTGTACAAGGCCGCGTATACCACCCGGCAGCAGTTTAATGAAAATCAACACAAGCGCATTAATACACAGCTAAGGTTGGTACAGTGAGAGGGAGAAAATGTACAATCTGGCTGTAAATTGGGTAAATACATCTGAGTGCTCTCGACAAGGTTAATGGAGAGAGGAGGCCTTAGTGAACGCCGGTCTAGACACGCCACACAGTATTAAGTGGGAATAGCTGTGGCAGTGTATCTGGCTAAGTACTTTAGAAGTGCGAATGGGACTCTAATAAAGCGAATGATCCCCCTGTTTTGACAAAGAGGCCCAGGAGGGACGCTGAACACCACGTTTTAGATTCCAAGCACTGACAAACACCCATTTGTGGCCCTTCTATCCCCCCTCAAATCCCACGGAAGCTTTTCCCTGCGCGCAAGACTGTCGGATGTGGGCAAAACCCAACTGCCAATTTGCAGAGGATGTGCCATGTTTGCTAATGCGAAGCAGAGGCTAAAAATGAGACCACACAAACTCTGGAGGATGGACTGATGGATTTGCTTTCTGGCACGAGCACTAACGGCTTTTTTTTTTTTTTTTTTCGGTGTTTGTTTCTGCGACTGGGCGGCTAATTATGAAACCTCCGTCATTACTGCACTACAGTACACTCATGTTTAGAGGGCTTGTGGGCAACAGGGGAAGCATTGTGAATTTCACTTGGGACAATAATCCAAGGAGTATGATGATGGCTGGGCTGTAATGCTGATTTATGCCGATAATGAACTGCTTAAAGACGTGGAATGCGGCGCAATTTCAGGGCTATCATCTTGACTCGAGATCAGAGAAAATGCAGATCTGCCGGAATTAAATCTAATCCCAAACAGTGAAACATGAGCATGGCGGGCCATCCTACTCCAGGAGCTGTAAGTGAAGACATTACCTCAGAGTGTGTGTGAACGTCTAAGCGCACATCTGTCCTCCTCAATCTGTGCGTGTGTTTTGTCTGTAAGGGGAAGATTGTGTCGGAGGGGGTAAAGCCCGATGAACTTGCATAATCAATTTTCACACTTTCACAGCACCTGTTGGCTTGTCTTCACGTTAAAAGAATGAATGAATGCATTACATGTAGAACAATTTCACACTGTGCAGCAGCTTCGTGCACAAAGACGAGGGGAAAATAGGGAAATGGAGCCGTATTGTCTCAATAGGTAACATAGCTCATTTCACTCCACAAAGGATGAATGGATATATTGACAATGCAGAAGGCGTGCTGAGGCATTTCCTGAATAAAGCCTCTTAACATTTTGTCCTCCTCTGGCAATGGAGTTGGGGAACAGTCATTTTGAATGTAGAGGGTCTCACTTACCGCAATATAATAGACCTTGGCTTTCTCCACCAGCTCCCAGTTGCTGTCCAAGTCCAGGTGTTTTTCCTTTTTGTAGCAGTTTGCCGCTGCCAGGTTAGCAACAAGGGACCTGCCGAGACAGACCCCATAAATCTTCTGCCTCGCTTATCATCCATCTTAATTTTGTCTCAAAAACATCCTTAAAAACACTCAGGCCCCAGACTTTCCTTTGTTCTTTCACGATATAAAAGGATGATAATGGTTTCTAAGAATGTCTGAACCAAGGTGAAATAAAGTTATCTGGGTCTCTTTATTTTTCTTCCTTTTTTTAAATGGGTTATCTCCAAACACCCCAAAAATAAACAAAGATTAAAAGAAACGGAGGGATTTTCAAGGCCAACAATAAGCCACGTCCAAATGATTCATATTATCGTATCACCTGGTGGTCTCTTGTTAACAGGGCTGGAAAAACAACAGAAATGCATTACTAAATGAACACTTGAGTCGAGTAGTGAGTGGTGGGAGCTGGAAAGTGAAGCAGGTGGCATTATCTTAACATAGCTCATTAGCCAGTCCTCATGCGCTGTCTCTTTATGAGCGGCCATCAAAATGAGTGCTACCATCATAGCTACTTAGGGGAAAACTGTTAGGCGGCCATATGACACGAGGGTGTTGCTACAGGAAAGGGTCTGTTCTCACATGGCGAGAAAAAGATGCTCGCCATGGTTAGTGTCAGAGGAAAAGAGTAGCAGTGTGCTAAGTTGATCAGAGTGTGATGACGAAGGCTGCGATGTGACAGCAGGATCGGGACTGCGTTTGACCTGAGCTGCAGTAATGGACTCAAAGGTTGGAACAAACATGACAGGCGAAATGAGCGTCATTACTGAGGAAGTGCAACAGACATGAGCGGAGCAGAGCGCCACCAAACAACAGCTCCATCTAATGATATGATGCATTTAGGAGGTAAAGCTGAAGCGAGTCCAGAGCAAATCACTCTGCTGTCCCTCTGAGGATGGAGCGATACTGGTGAGCTCCTGCCATTTCTCTCAGAAAAACTGTTCAGTCTGGAAGAATGAATCCCAGTTTAACGATATTCTGGTTTCCAAACTGAAAATATTACAATTCCAACTATGGTTATCAGTCATAATAGAATAAAGTCATCAATCTCCATAATGAAATGTCCTTGTCAATATTGTGAAAAGGACTTTGTTTCCTCACAACTCGTCTTCTCAGGCTGTGCAGCCTCAAACAAAGACTAGCCAAGCTAACAAAACTTAGTGCTTCTAATCTATCACATAAAACTCACCATTTGGTTTATGCAGCTTGTTGGCAGTGTTAAATGGCAAGCTGGGACGTGCTGAGGTTATCCTACGCCCTGTTCAGACACGGGACGCGTAACATTGCCGGTTTTATCGATCTGTTATCGTGACGGCTTTCTGTCCGTCAGGCACAGCTCAGCTTTAGGTTAAAGTTCCTCAAACACACCTTCAACAGAGCAGTGGTGTGTAATCTGTGTTGTCTCCACAAAAAGCACAGTACAATAATAATAATGCAGATATAAACACAGTACATTAAACTAACAGCAGCTTATTAAACTGTCCACATAGCCAGTGGTGCAGTTTATTAGGATTTGACTGAGCATTGGTCCATTTGTTCTAATGATCTCACTCATACACTCCTGACAGTAAATAAACATCCTGACAGCTGTGATCTTTGAAAATAATTTATCTGCACTTTATAAACTTGTGATAAAAACTCCTACAAACAGCTGGAAGCAACAACTGAACTTCAGGTTAACGTTTATTGTTGGTGAATCTCAGAAAGCTAACCTGCTTTGTCTTTATCACAGCGACGTTTTATTAAACCAGAAAGTTGTTTTGTGACTTTTGGCAGCAAACTGTGTCTCTGGAGCTCTTTGTGAGGTTTCTGGATCAGTGTTGGTGCTGAACTGCTGACACAGCTCCATGTACGCTGCATGTACGTGACCGGTGACGGCATCACGTCAGGCTTGTGCCATGCTGAAAGTGATGCAGAAATTTTAGTGGCTTAATCTGGTAAAAGTGCAGCTTTTGCAGAAACGTGTGAGCAGGATGCACATTTAGACGCACAGCGGCGACATAAAGGCACAGAAACACCGTGAGCTCCAGAATGAACTGTGACACAGGAAAACAACTCAAATATTAAATATGCTTAAAAGACAAGTTTACCATAAAATCATACAGGACAATGTTATTATTATGGTTTTATTTGAATTGAAAGTTTAATGCAAGACTTAAGGAGACTGAGGAGGACTGTAACTGAACCTTTGTTGATCCCTCTAAGAACTGAATAAACTGATTTCTTTGTGGATAAAATGTGATTATTTTATGTGCTGTATCTTCTTCACACTCTGGAACTGAAGTGATCAGATCAGAGCAGGGGAGACTGATAGTTTTTTCCTTTTCTTTGAAGACTTGCACTAATCAAAGCCTGAGGGCTGTGACATACTGGCTCCAGATCCTTCAAAGCCATCACCCTTCCAATCTGGCCCTGCCGGCGACCTTTCCTCTGGCCTCCTGAGCTGTCTGTTAAACACCTGTAAGAAATATTACAGAGCTCGTCTCCCTGAGCACGGCACCTGACCTTTTCAGGTGTCAGAGCCCACATCAAACAAGCCCACTAAGACCATTCAGCAGGGCTGGCTCCCGGGGCGGTCAGGGTCCAGCCGCTGACTGACTGACAACTCCAGTAGCAGCGGATAAAGGGCTGCAGAGGAGGGGAGTGTTTAGAGAAGGAGGTTATTGATCCACACCTGGTCTATCATGAACTGCAGCCTTTACTGTTAGTGATATTTGTGTGTGTGTGTGTGTGCGTCTATCTGCACAGGCTTTGACCTCTGCTGTCTCAGACGTGCTGATGATGATGCAAGCGCCAGAGTCGCCAGAGACGCTAAAGCCCCTTTTACAGCGGAGCAGGCTGACAGGTGAGAACTGGGATAGCCCAGGCATCCCTAACACATTGCTACTGTCAGCCTATAGATGGATGACAACCCACTGGGGCGGCAGAGACTGAGTGGGGGCCTGGAAAAACACGCTCAAGCTGTTCTTTTTCCTTTTGATGTGTGAGCTGAGCTATGATTCCCTGTTATGACTTCCAGCCCAGAGAAGTCAACCGCCTGCCCGAGGAAGTAAAAATGAACCAAAATGACTCTTTCAGATCTGAGCTACGGGGTCGTTTCTTGGTCAGGGGTGACGGAAAGGTTGCTAACCTATTGTCTCCGGTGATACAGGCTGCGCAGGTACCGGTCGGCTCCTCGTTTTGCTCGTAGTAATGGGCATCGACGTGGGCTTCCTCGGCCTTCCTCTTCAGGATCTCGCCGAAGTTGTCCGTGCCAATGCACCCGAAGAAGGTAGCCACCTTATGGGGTTTCTGGATCATCCACTAGGAAAGAGAAAATAAAAACAGTTACAGCGAGCTCCGTTTACAAAATATAAGTCTGTTTGAAGGGTCAAGTTCAGCGAAGGCAGATGGCACACAAACTGTAGCTTCACAGCAAACATACTGCTTGTGATATATGAGGGCTGTGAGCTGTCGTAAACAACCCAAGACCAATTCCACTCCACACAGAGGCACTATTCTCATCCAAGCACTCCTTCCTCCCTGTGTGCTAAAAACAGTCTCATCTCCTTATTTACACAAACCCCATAATTCAAGGCTTCATCCTTCTTATGCAAACACAGACTGTGTGTGTGTGACAGAGTGTGCAGCAGCTACCACAGGACACTCCCCGAAACTGCTCGTTGGACGGTTTTTTTTTTTTGGTCTCGACAGTCTTGATGTACTCAGTGACTTTTACCTGATGGGGGGAGGGGGGCTGCTCAAATTCTACAGCGCTCAGGTTTAACCTCCAAAGATTTATTGACGTACACTACGTGCTGCTGTTTGCTCATTTTATTGCAGCCTCCTGTTTTGTTGCTGACGGGGCCCCTTGTGAATGAGATGTTGCTGCTTTTGGGGATGACCTGTATATGTGTGAAATTAATCATTTCACGCGACCAAATAGCATCTCGGTAGGGGAAGAAAAATACATTTTCATCACCCGTCTTGAGATGCTGTCCCCTGTTACTTTGCTCTCATCCCCCCTCCTCTTTCTGGTCTCCAGGTAACTAGTTCAGATGGAAAAAAATAAATAAATAATCAAACAGAAAAATAAAACTATCCAAGAGAAAGAGTCATTACTGTGTGAGCAGGGCTGGTGTGTGTTTTCATGCTTCGCTGTGTGTCAACCCGAAGAATTGATCAAAAATAACTCACACGTTCTCAGCTATTACGCAAATCAATTAATCGACAGATATTTTCAGCACTAGCGCCGTGAAATGACCAATAATAATGTCACATATGCCTGCTCTATCTGGGTCCACGAGCGGTCCGACCATGTGTCATCTTGAGTCATGGTTCAGTCATTGAACCGAGCCTCCGACTCCCCACCTGGCTGAAAATACACAAACATGTACACACGCGTGTGCGCAAATCCGAGCTCTTCTTCCCTAACCTCTTGCTGCAGGCACCTCACACTTATCAAGGTCACTGGCTCGGGTACACGTCAAGTCCAATCTGATTTTCCCTTCGCCATGATGAGCTCCGAATCCAAGGTTAGGAGCTGCAGGCTGTAAATAATGACAGCGCGGCCCCTCCATTTGCAGGCCTCTCAGGTGGGAATAGAGAGGGCCACTCAGGGGCCTCAGCCCCTCTGATGACAGCATGGTGAATCACAGCAAACACCGACCTCACAACCATCACCCCCCTCTGTCCCCACACCTCCATCTGAACCCTCCTACCTCCTCCACCTCCTCTCTCTCTCTCTGACCGTCGGCTGTACTCTCACTGCCAGCTCAGCTTGTCATTTTACAGGGTCATTAACAGACACACATACACACTAACATATGAGTACACAGTGCACCCACGCAGGGAAAAGGCTGACATATACACACATCCAGAGAAATCCTCTCTTGTGCCACAGCATCAAAACTCCCTCCCTTCCTAAAAAAGAAAAAAAAAAAGCCACCCCTGCCTTTGCCAGAAGCTGCTCTCCTACTCCAATAAACACAAAGCAGCAATAGATAAGAAGAAAACGTCTTCATTATGAGCATGTAAAAAAATGTATCTTGCACTTTTCCCCCCTCCTCCTCCTCCTCTGTGGTGCACAGGAGCGGGGAGTTATATCAATTCATTTCCATCCCTGGCACCCTGCAGACAATCCCTCTCCATTCCCAGATTATGTGAGATAATACCTCCATTATGACAAAAGCACTATTCGCAGGGTCGCCGAGAGGTCAACCAACCCTGTGCTGGGTATTCATGCTTAGTCACATCCCAATTATATCGCAGTGGCAGAGGCAGAAATTGGCAAATGTACATCAAGGCGCTTCATTACTGAGGGCCGCTCCAGTGAAATTAAGCAGCAGATGAGACAGAGTGAGATTTGCCCCCAGGCGGCATGTTAGCGAGAGAGGGAGAGGAAGACGGGAAGAAAGAGGGAAGCTGAAGTAACAGATTTTTGTGGAGGTGCTGGGAGCTTGTATCTTGCACAGCAGCTCATGTATATTTACTTAACTAGGGAGAACGCCGGTCCCCAAAGATTAATAAGATCCCCTGATACACCACAGCAACATATCTCTAGGTACGTTGAGATACAGGAGGGGAACCTAATACAAACAAGAGAGGAAAATATCCCTGAAAAGCAGGGCGAAGACGCTGCACAGCCTCCTGCGCTACAGGCAAAGTGATGATAAGTGTACATTATGTTAAGTGGTGAATACGTCTGGCGTCTCTTTCTGTTTGGCTTCCATTTACCCAAATAATTCTCCCCCCGCCCCCCAACCCATCCACCCAAAACTGGCCCCCGGGGCCCCAGATAGCTATTAATTATGACATCTCTTGGTTGCAAGGAGCCCCACTTGGGGAGCTGACCTAGGCCTGCTCCTCAACACCCAGCAGCTGCCACTCTTCACTACGGAGGCAGCCGCTTCGCGTGGCAGCTTCCAGGAGGGCAATTACACAGCCCAGATGAGATGAGGCGGCTGAATGTTTGGGACTTGAGTGCTCAGACTGCCATTAGCACTATAAGCTATTACATTCCCTCCTCTTTTTTTTTTTTTAACTCCCCTCCTCCCTCCTCCCATCTCCTCTCTCCGTTGCTGCTGTATATTGATGAAGTGGTAATGGGACCTCTAGTTAGATATTCCTCCTGTAAAAACATTGTCTTGTTTCTAGTCTCCCTCAGGGGTCAATGTATTCTCCCGGAGTTGCTGGGAATCATTTCTGCTCTATTAATGATGCAATTCCAATGCAATTCAGATCCACTGAAGACGCGGCACACTGGGCCTTTGCGGGGAGTTGATAGATGACGCCGTGTGTTATCCTGCAGCTCGACAACAAAGTGGCGCCTCGTGCACATCGACGGCGGGAAGCTGGTCGGCCGTCACTCGCTTCCACTGCTCGGTTCATCCTGAGAACAGGACGGATGAGAAGTGTCCATTCTGCCTGCTGCACCTCACCGGCGGCTTCCTCTTGAGGAGAACATGACCGTGCCTAATGATGGTCACATTAATTACAGGCTTATCAACCTCAGCAAAAATTCAATAGGGCTATTTATAGAGGCCTAAAATAGCCCAGGGTGAGGGTGCTGCACGCCGGGGTGGCCTGTAACCGCCGCCGCTCACTCCACAGCCTTTCTTTTAGAGCCAGAGGAGGAGGCTGATATCAGTGCTGCTTTTTACTGTGTAGTTAAAACAACTAGCAAACATCTGTCCATCAGGGCCTGTCATGGAAAGCGCTTTTGTATAAAGCGCTGGTGGAGCAGAGGGCCCTCACCACGAGCACTGACATTGATGAGGTCTGGCAGCTTCCATTAAATCACTCTTTCCTGTAAAGTGCCAGGCATCAAAGCAACCGGCCGAGGATTTTTCACTCAATCAGGTAACACACAAGGCACCCCCACCCTCCTCCCTGTCCTCTCAGGGGCTGGAGCCTTCTGGTCAATAACTCCAATCAGTTCAATTTCATGCACAGTTAGCCGTGTTGGGGTGCTAGGGCACGGCTCACGTCGGGGTTGCATATGTTGTTGTCGCTGTTGTTGTTTTTCTTTAATTTTTTCTCTTCCCTGGGAGGGTTGATAAGTGGGGTGGGGACCTGTACTGTGTAAAAGTGGAGAGTAGCCAGGGCTAGCATGGTTGTTTTAACTCTGCCTCCACACAGCGGGCTCCTTGCCAAGCCATTAAAAGTCTCTGTGCTCTGCTTCAGTGACACAGCTAAAAGAATAGAGAGCAGGCGAGAGGGAGAGCTGTAAATGATCAACACGATAATGAGCTGATTATCAGTCAAAGGCATGGATAAGCTCTCTCTCCAGTAATTTCCTTTCAGATCAGTCAACCACATTCTCCTGTCTGCAATCAACACTCAAAGGGGAGGCATAGCATGTAGCCTGACGGGAACCCGGCCCAATATCAGCTTCATATTTCCAGATCCTCGTTGTCTTCGCTTTGGCTCGTCCCTTGCTGACACACCAGCATGGTGGGGAGGCTTGTGTATCACTACTCAAGTCTGCTTTTGTAATGGATGTTTCACAGTTGTCATGCAGCTCCAGGCTCTGGCTGCAGGACAACATAAAGCTGACTGATGCTGTACAATCTATACGTCATTTCCAATTGTTTTGACGCTACATATGTAACAGCAGCAGAGGCTACGGAGCTGGGTTTTAGCTTAAAAAATCACATTAAATGGGAACAATTTCTTCCAAGAAATCATCTTCACGGACGACTACACAAGTGGGCGAGACTACGAAGTCCAGCCAATACAGCAATCAGAAATTGCAAACAGTCCCATGCTGCTGCTTTTCCTATCAAACTGATCCTGATATCCTATTGGGTTACACTTTGATCCTTCACTGCGCTATGTTCCTCCACAACAACCTGTTTCTATGGGAACTAAAACATATTGAGGAAGTAATGATACAATTTCAGGGGAGCGCTGTAGTCCCCATCCCCCTATTTCTTTTTTTAAATTGTACAATGGGATGAGGATGGTGAAACATTTCCTCATTAGTTACTTTGCATTAAAATACTGTGCAAATGCAAATCAATTTGCATCAGCTACTGTTATGCAAATACACTGGAGGCCACAACAAGATTACATAATTAATCAAGAAGCAGTAATTTCATTGCTGATTCCCACCTAAGATGGCATTTGTGTTATTATAGTGCATGCAACAAAGATCGGCGCTCCAATGATGCACCCTGGCTCTCTATATTTTCATTTTTGGGGGGTTTCTGGGTGGAGGCACACAGCGAGGAGTGGCAGGAAGATGCAGGTGTTTTGTCTGTAACGGAGGCAGCAGAGACCGGTTGTGCATTTTTGCATTTGTTGCAACTGATTGCCATCTT